TTTAAAGAAGGAAATTATAGCAAAGCATGAGTGTGGTGTCTGTGTGATTGATCTCACAAGGGAGTATGGCAGGTCCTCATCAACAATTTACACCATTAGTAAGGGAATGAGGAGGAAAGGGAGGATGCTGCCTCTTCCACTGAAATCAGGGAAGTGTTTGGAATGTTTGAAAAGGTGAACTCATTCGTGGAAAAGCTGCCCTGATAAAGCAGTGACAACCAGGTGTGTGAAAATGTTTAATTAATTTATCACTTTGTGATAACACTTTATGAAAGTGTTATCACTTTCGCAGGTATATGTCACTTGAACGTGACACACTTTTTTTCTCTTGAATGCACCCAAACACCGCGCTCAAGCGTCATTTGAGCAAATATTTCTATAAAATCCAATTCTTATCCGATCGACTTGGGAATTGTATACATGTTTGCCATGAAATTTCCGTTTTCTTTAATAACCACATTGCCTATTTGAGAAAAACGGCATTGTATTGTATCTTCGTGGTAAGACTACTATATTGTTGACACAACGAGTGTAATCAACGTAGTTTTTTATTTGGTGCTGGTCTAACGCATCCTTGTGTGACATTTGAAATGAAATTTGGGTGAAATTCCCAAGAAGAGAGAGTCTGCCTGACTCAGAGGTGGATTCCCCTTCCACACCATAACCCCTCTCATCCTTCCCACCTCTCCATCGTCTCCCTCAAGCCAGCAACTACTCTTCATAAGGTAAAGTAAATATTAAAACACTACAACAAAACATTTATATTTACATGTGCAATATTATATTTACATAAAAAAAAGTCATCATACAAGTATGGATGTTTTTGGGAGTGGAACGGATTAAATTTATTTCCTTTATTTTAAATGGGGAAATTTGTTTCCAAAGACGAGTTTTCCAGGTAACGAGCTCGGTGCCAGAACGGATTAAACTCGTTAATAGAGGTTCCACTGTATATATTTATATTATACATATTTGTATAGATATTGTTCATTTTATTTGTTCATTTTATATATATATATATATATATATATATATATATATATATATATATATATATATATATATATATATATATATAAAATATTTATATATTATTCTTTTCTTGTATATGTACATTTGTTTTTAATTATCCAGTTGTACCTTTGATGTGCCTACATAGGGGCATTCTGATGTATCAAAAATATGCATGCTACTATTCCCCTAGATAAGTTTCAAGTGCTGCCAGATACACGAGCCTTGCTGAACTAGTTAGGTAACGCGGACTGCCCTTTTTTTCGTTGGAAGCTTGGCATACATTCTGTTGGTCCCACGTGCTTGAGTGGCGCAAGGCTCATACAGTGGTCCAGGTTTTCATGGGAGAGGGGGGGTGACTTTGAGCACCTCAATGCGTGCTTGTTTGCCCCTGCCCTTCTGCGGGATGTCGGCATTGTGCAACTTCACAACTTCGCAGGTTCCCACCCTCTTGGCTGCACTGGTTGCTGAGAACTTGGGCGCCCATGACATGTTGGCGTCGGTCTTGCGGTTATTTTCCCTTCTTGAGCTGTCCACGGACTGACTTGATGAGGACATGGAGGCGCTTGGGTCCGATAAATGGTCTGGCGCGTTGGTATCGGCAGTGCGCTGATCCTACGGGGGATGCAGTGTCGCTGTTTTTTGCTTCACGTCGTGCGTGTCAGCAGGTGGTGGCTTGCTACCTCCGTGGAGTCCGCTTAAGCCCTGGCTCTTTGGTTTTCTTCTCTTTGTTGTCTTTTGCTGTTTGCAGAGTCTGTAATGGTGCAGTATCTGCAGGCAACTTCTTCCAGTTGTCATCCCATGTTAGACTTGTTGGTTCTCAGGAGGATCTGGGGAAGGGGGGTCTTCCCGGAAGGGTCGTGCCAGGGCTCAGAGTTCCTCCTGTCATGGTAAGCCAGTGGCGCCAGTTTCGGACCTGGCGTAGCCTTCGGAACTGTCTTCGCCTGATTGGCGCTCTGATCGCTCTGTGCGGAGGTCAGATTCACGTAAGAGGCATTGGCCCTTTCGCGTTCGTCCCATTAATGGGAGATGGAGGGGAGGCTCCATCTCCCATGGAGATGGAGCCTGGAGATGGAGATGGAGTGGGGCAGGCTTCTTCCCCATGCTTCTTGTTAGGTCATCTTGGAGTGGATGCATTTGGGCGTGGACGAAACGACCCTGTCCCTCTGGTGGGTTTCCCGCCTATTTCCAGTGCCGAAATTGGACTGTGCGGATCTGTGGTTCATTTTGGACTTGTCCCGCCTGAACCCCTGGATTCCTTGCCCTTCCTTTCGGGTGACCACTCTGTCTCAGGTCCGGCTTCTGTTGAAGCCGGGTGCCTGGATGTTGTCCCTGGACCTCTGGGACACGTACTATATTGGCATGTTCCCATTCATCCTGGGTTCAGGGACTGGTTAGGTTTCGTGGTGGGGCATCAGGCCTACCACTTTCATTGCCTTCCTTTTCGCTTGAATCTGGCACCTTGCATATTCACGTGTGTTACCTAGGTCGTGGTGACCCATCTGTGTCTGCTAGGGGTTCGAGTCCTGGTTTACCTTGACAACTGGCTGGTGTGGACTCCCAGTCAGTCTGCTTGTCTGCTCGCCATGGGTGCGGTTCTTTCCCAGCTCACCGGGTTTGGGGTTCCTGGTGAGCTGGAGGAAGAACCATCTGGTTCTGGCTGGGTCTTGTTTGGAACTCTCGGACCGCTTCCTTGTCTCTCCCTCCAAAGGCATTGCTGCGGCTGCAGTCTCACCTTCAGCTGTTTCTGGGGGGGGGGGGGGGGAATCCCAGGTCATTTGGCGGTTGCTCGAACAGTTGTGCGGGAGTTCGACCATCTGGCTCCATTTGGATTCTTCTCTGGTGGCTAAATTGCTTGAACCATGGGGGTTCTCATTGGTCCTTGCCTCTTTGGGGCTGGTCGCTTCAAGCGGCTTGTCTGCTGGCTTCTCGGGGTTTGGCTCTGGATGGTTCATATCCGCGGAGCGTCTAATGTCCTGGCAGACGGCCTGTCTCAGTTCATTTCTCTGTCCACGGAATGGATGGTCGACGCCGGCTCCTTTTGTTGGCTCTGCCTGATGTACGGACTCCCGGATGTGGACCTCTTTGCGGCAACGGGTCTCTGCGTCTCATGGTCTATGTGGCACCCTTTACCAACTGTGAAGCTGTGCTGGTGGACACCTTTTGACAAGACTGGTTGAGGATGAACACCTGTACCTCTTTTCCCTGGTCCAGCTGTTGCTTCGGGTTCTGGCTCGGTTGGAGTCCTACCCAGGAAGAGTAATCCTAGTGGCCCCTTGGTGGCCAGCCCAGCCTTGGTTTCAGGCGCTGCTTGTTCGATGTGCAAACCCATGGGGTTTCCCGTGGCTCTGCCTCTTTCAGCAGGTCGAACCAGCAGGTGGCTGGTTCGGTATTCTCCTCTGCTCTTCGTGTTTAGGTGATTTTGTCGTGGGTTTATCACCATTTTTATGGTGATCAGGTGGCTTTCTTCCTTCCTTCCTTCCTCCTGAGAGCTTCGTCTTGGTGACAGTACAGTATGAAGTTTCCTGGCATTATTTCTGACATTTTCTGTCTTTTCGAAGGTTGTCTTCTATTTCGGATCGGGTTGCATTGTCCTTTCTTTCTTGATTTTTTCAGGACTGTCATTTTATGCCTAATACTGCCGCCTTGTATCATGCGGCGCTGGCAGAGCCGCTTCAGCTTCTGGTCAGAGTGGATATCTCCTCTGCCCCATTCTGTAAACTTTCTCATACTTTGTTTCACATCTGACCTGTTCTTGCACCCCTTAGCTGTCCTGGTCCTTGTACAGGGTGCTTTCCTATCTTTCCTGTCCTCAGTTTGTGGTGGCCCTTTCAGTTCAGGATTTTATTCCAAGTCCCGGAAAATCCAAGTCCCAGATGTAGGCGTCCCATTTGGTTTTGTTGGCATTGGCTTCTGGGGGTCAGGTCGGGGAGCTTCCTACTCTCCTCTAGTGCAGGGGTTTCTGATCTTTTGCTCCTGGTGGTCGGTTTGTTCATTTACAGCCTTCTCCTTCTTTTCTGGTGAAGAATGAAATGGCTGCTTTCCAGAGGGATCCTCGGGTCATTGATGCTTGCTTGGTCAGGCCAGGGTGCATCATGTGTTGTGTCCAGTTGCAGCTCACCACTGTTATCTGCACGCTTTGGCTTCAGTGGCTGGGGGATGTGTTTTGGGTTGATCCAATTTCCTTCGTTCCCTGTTCCAGGGCTTAGGTCTCCCATGTCGTCCACAGGGTTATTAAGTCTAGCCAGCCTGCAGTCTATCTTCATGCCCATGACGTTAGGAAATTTGCTGCTTTGGCTGCTGTGTTTGGCAACATGTCTTGGTGGGCTGATATTCGGGCATGGGAATTTTGGAGGTCGAACAGGGTCCTGGCAACCCGTTATTTGGTTAACGTCCTTGCTCCTGGGCATCCCTGTGTTGCTTTGGGTTGCAGGTTGCAGCCAGTTGTCTCAACTTCGCATTGAGATGTTTATGGCGGCTGCCTCCCTGATAAGTTCCTCTTTCCTTCTCTTTGGTTATGTAGCTCCAGGAAGTCGTAGGGGCTCTTCATAAAAAAACAGCGTTGACTGTAATGAAACGCCATTTTCTCACTAAAACCATGCTCAATTGTGGTTTAATACTAATTTTCTTTTTGCTTGGCTCTTATCACTAACTTTCTTAGGTGCCACAGTGACTTATTTACACTAAGAATATAAAAAATATCCAAGAAATTACATGAAACATTAAGAGAAATCTAGTGGTGGTGTGCACTGAATGACAGCTACTGGGAAACTGACTGGTCTGGGATGCGTTTTTACATTAGAGTGCCAAACAAATGATCGACTACCAAACATGAACATGGCATTCGAGTGCTGAATTGTTCGAGATGGGAGCTGTTTGAGTATGTACCGAGGTTCCTCTGTATTTTTGTCATGAGTGGTCATTGACTGGCTCTGGTAACTTGACCCTATTGATATACTGTACTCAGTTAGTGTCTTCTCTACTTCCAGATTATGAGACAGCAGCAGCTCATATTCATCGCTTTTTAGCAATGGACGAGACTCTATTATTGCACACGACGGATTCTGCTAGTAAAGGTGAGAATCTTTTAATATTTAATAAGTACTCTTCTTCTCATAGACCTGTCTACTCTTTGAACTAGTTTTTCATGTATAATGAGGTCATGTGTTTGTAGTACAGTACTTGTATTATTTAGGCACAACAGTAGTGCTGACTGGGCAGCATAGGTGAGCTGCAAGGAACACACTCAGCCTTATGGGCATGAATGTGATACAGTACTGTTCATAATACACTGGGTCCTAACACTCTCTAACAAACAGCGTTTTAGCAAATTCATGGATAGTCTGAACAGTTTGGGTTCAGATCACAAAAAAATCACAGTGGCGTAATGTATCAATGATAAAATAATTTTGTGTTCAGTATAAATTGTTCAGTGGCATATACAAATATTTCATTAAGTGAGGATCGAGCACCCAAGCTATTGCCTCCCCCAGATCTTGGAAAGCAGCTGTGTTAAAGTATCCGCCGAATCTGTGCAGTACTTGAAAACTTTTAACCCTTAAACTGTGCAACGAGCCTGCAGGCCCTCGACAGGGGTGCGCAAGGCGCCTCCGGGTATTTATATTTTTAGTTTTCCATTCAAAACTCTCGCAGCTACATGGGGTTCACATCAACTTCCTCAGGGTTCTTGTAAACAGACGCCATCTTTAAAAAAAATCATGGTAAACAGACGCCATCTTTAAAAAAAATCATGGGCCACATTCCTGGGTGTGAGAGCCTCAGTACTGAGTGAGCAACCAAGGCCTGCACACGCAGCATGAGGTCACAGCACTGCTGTTCAGCTTGTGACCACCGCATTGCCTAATAATGTCAATACATATATATAACTTGTATTATTTAGCCATGACAGTATTACAGAAGAGGCTGAGTACTCACCTAATTGTACTCACCTAATTGTGCTTGCGGGGGTTGAGCTTTGGCTCTTTGGTCCCGCCTCTCAACCGTCAAAAACATTTTACCTATTTGTCTCCACCTCCACCGGGGATCGAACCCGGAACCTCAGCACTACGAATCCAAAGCGCTGTCCACCCAGCTGTCAGGCGCCTTCAGAGTGTGATAATGACTGTGTACAATGTTCAAATATCAGTGATTCAATGCTGTTCACGATGTTCTCAGCGCTAGCCACAGCACCACAACATTATTTCGTCCATCTAGGAATCTTCAAACGACTTCTTAAGTTCCTTTACAAAATAAACTTGTGGTCAATTATTCATTTACAGGAATTAGTGACCAGGATTGTGATAATATGAGGATTGTGGTGATAATTAGCACTGGGTGTAGTATTGTGGGAGGAGGAATTTTGTTGAGGGAGGGAGGGAGAGAATCGAGGTAGCCTCACTGTGTGTGTGGCAGCCACTCTTGTTTTGCTCACCATACAGTACTTGCTTAGTGGTTCGCTATGGTGAACACATACTGTATGTATATGAGTATATACAATGTGTGTATATAGTGTAAAAACAACAACAGGAGTATGTTGAGAGGGGCTATTTTGGTGAGGGAGGTGACGTCGTAATCATAGCATCGTCTGCTGTGTGATTTTTCATGCACTGGTCGAGGACCGGGCCGCGGGGACACTAAAAAAGCCCCGAAATCATCTCAAGATAACCACTATATGGTGGCCACTATACTGTTTGAACACAATACTGGCTTACTTGCATAGTTCTGTTGAATAAAACATATAGATAGGTATACATAACATATGTAAATAGTGTAATAAAAACAATAACAGTATGGTTGGAGGAGGGGTGATGGCGAGTACGATGTTGGAGGAGTGAGGGAGGACTGGCTGGCTGGGTGTGGCAGCTCACACTCATGGAGTTCTGAGTGTGTTTATGGTGTGTGTATATAGTGTGTGATACTGTACAGTGTGTAAATAGATTATATATGTACATAAATTAGCATGATACATTGGAAATATGTGCTGGATATGTGTACACGTGTCATGCACGTAACAGAGTGTCTTCGAACAGTACGGATGTTCTACTGCCATAATATAGTGTACATGTTTATTATACATAGGATTGGCACGTATAAACAAATAAAATGTATTTGGAACTGTGTACAAAAAATGAACAAAAATATATTCGCGGCAGCGTGCGCATCCTGCCCCGGGCGCCCTACTGGCCCCGGTAGTGTATGCCACGGGCGAACGGGGAATGATAGGATCCCTCCACGAGGGATCCCATCACAATGGTTGTACTCTTCAAGTCACATGTGTTGTCCCATCTTGAGTACTGCTCAGTACTCACCTCCCCCTTTAGAGCAGGAGAGATTGCTGAAATAGAGGGAATACAGAGAACACCCAGCAAGCATAAGAAATATTGCCGGAACAACCGTGGACATTTTCAAGAGGAAACTAGATTTATTCCTCCAAGGAGTGCTGGACCAACCGGGCTGTGGTGGGTATATGGGCCTGCGGGACACTCCAAGCAACAGCCTAGTGGACCAAACTCTCACAAGTCAAGCCTGGCCTCGGGCCGGGCTTGGGGAGTAGAAGAACTCCCAGAACCCCATCAACCAGGTAACCAGGTATACAGCACGTATAGACCCGATAAGGCACCTAAATTACTGGGATCGTCTCAAAGCCCTCCAAATGTACTCACTAGAAAAAAGACGAGAGAGATATCAAATAATATACACGTGGAAGAAACTGGAGGGCCAAGTACCAAATCTACACAGTAAAATAACAACGTACCAGAGTGAACGATATTTAAGAAAATGCAGAATAGAACCAGTGAAGAGCAGGGGTGCCATAGGCACAATCAGAGAACACTGTATAAACATCAGAGGTCCGCAGTTGTTCAACTCCCTCCCAGCGAGCATAAGAAATATTGCCAGAACAACCGTGGACATCTTCAATAGGAAACTTAATTCTTTCCTCCAAGGAGTGCCGGACCAACTGGGCTGTGGTGGATATGAGGGCCTGTGGGCCACTCCAAGCAACAGCCTGGTGGACCAAACTCTCACAAGTCAAGCCTGGCCTTGAGCCGAGCTTGGGGAGTAGAAGAACTCCCAGAACCCCATCAACCAGATATCAATCAGGTATCAACTTCACACGCCAACTTACGGACCCCATAGCAGCCAAAGTTAGTAGAATTTCAACTTTCAATTACTATACCCATACTCAGGGAAGGGTTTTTGTCACTTTCAAAACAACAAATAATTTTTTCCACCGGGAGGGTTGGGGGGGGGTGTCAGTGTCATATTTGGAAGCCGAGCAGTTGAGGGGTTAAACATACTTAAATACAAAATATTATCTTAAAAATTTTATTAATAAATATTAATATATTCCAAAATATACACAGAACAGGCAAAAGTGAAACTATTATTACAAACAGTGTTAACAACATTCGTCCTTGCCACACGAATTTAAATTTGTCTGCTGGCTACTCGGGGTTTGGCTCTCTGGGTGGTTCATATCCGGGGAGTACCATATAAAGGCAGTCCCCTATCAACTAACAAGTTACGTTTTGAGAAGATGTTTGTGTCAGTAGTTAGGGGTTTTTGTTAGGGGGCAGGTGTTGTCAGTGGTAGAAGTTGTCAAGGGAGGCTGGAGTAATACTGTACAGGTACAGTAGTGGTGTCAGTAAAGGCTGTAGAGGCAGGCACCACATGTGACTGGCGGCTCCTTGCTCCCTTTCCAGCACCCCAACCCCCCCCTCCCTCCTTCCTGCACCTGACCACCAGAAACCAGCCACTACTCCTCTCCTCTCTCGTCGTCAGGTGCCAAGAGTCAATTTAATAATAATTATCACATTATCTACACTGAGAATAGCCTTTTCATTAGAAAAATGTCATATTGGCACAATAATAATGGTGAAAATTGTGATATATACAGTACATATTTTAAACAGTTTCAACACATTTCCTTTTCACTGAATTTTTAATAAAATTGGGGTGTAGATAACAGTTGGCTTTGTGTGGCCGGCAGGTCGCTCCTTGAGCCATTGGGGGGGGGGAGGGGGGGTTTGTTTTCTGGATCTCTCCCTCCCTCCCTCTAACAGCACAATATTATTTGAAAACAATTTGTAAGTCTATTTAGATTAAATTTTGAGTAGGCCAATAAAACAAGCACAGGTCGTGTAAACGTTAGGCCTTGGTGAGGTGGCTGGCACCATTTGTCTCCCCTCCTCCCAGTGTGAAAACGTGTTGCTCGTGCGTGAAGGATAATTTTGAACAATTTTTATCGTTTGAACTCTTATACTCTGTCAAGATGTCTCAGAGCAGCATTCGTGGTGTTCAAGATTTAAAACAAAAGAGAAAATATTTGTCAATTGATCAGAAAATTGATTTAATAGAGAAAGCAGAGCGTGGATACTCAGTCACCCGTCTCGCCCAAGAATCCAACATCGGTAAAGCTACAGTTTGTGATATAAAAAAGCAGAAGGATAATATTAGGAAATTCGTTGCTCAAAGTCAAACTCGTGCAATAGGCAACAGGAAAACATTGAAGCCTGCTAAATATACGGATTTGGACTCTGCTGTATTCAAATGGTTTACACAGCATCGTGCGAAAGGAATTGCTGTTTCAGTTGATTCTATTAGAAATGCAGCTGAAAGACTTGCTGAAAAGTTAAACATTGACAATTTCAAGGCTAGCACTGGATGGGTATGTCAATTTAAAGAGAGGCATGGCATCATTAACAAGAAAATTTGTGGCAAAGCCTTAAGTGCAGATGTAGGAAGTGTTAATGCATTTAAATATCAACTTTCTCAGCACATGGTATCTAATAATCTAAGCTGGTTTCAAGTGTACAATGCAGATGAAATAGGCTTTAACTGGAAATGCCTTCAAAGAAACACTTTGGCCTCTAGGCTTGAGGAGAGTATTCCTGGTCGCAAGGTAAGCAAGGAAAGAATTTCAGCATTATTGTGCGGTAATGCAGATGGCAATCACCGAACAAAGTGCGCAATTGTTGGGAAATCTGCCAACCCCAGAGCATTGAAAAACTGCATGAACAGATTACCTGTCGTTTACTACAACACCAAAAATGCCTGGTTCACACAGATTATTTTT